AGACGGGCAGGGACGGCACGGCCCCTGCAGCCCACCACTGGGCTGCGAGGGCTGCCGGGACCCCCGTGCCACGGCCAGCCAGACCACACCGGGGGTGAAGGTGAGCACGCAGGGGGGAGATGAAGGATGCATGCGGGGGGCAAGACGGGGAGCTGTGTGCCTGCTGCACACCCTGCCTGCCCCTTCGCCATGCCCCTATCCCCGCCCGCCCTGCCCAGGCCCCCTGCTCCAGCCCTGGCACCCCACGCAGCCCTGCTCGTGCCCCTCATCCCAGGCTCCGGCTGACCCTGCTCCTTGCTTGCCATCGCTCCTGCCCTCCCCCAGCGTGCAGCAGACACGGGCCAGGCTGGGTGTCCCCCAGTCCCCCTTGGCAAGGATGCTGCTGCAGATGTCCCCAAGGCAGTGGGTGGGCTGGATTTGCAACAGGGATGAGGGGTACACAGCCCATCGGCTGGCCCCGAGAGCAGGCCGGGTCCTTCGGGGGCACCATGTCATCCTGCCCAGGGCACGCAGAGGGGATGGCTGGTCACCCAGAGCTGAGGGCGCAGGCCACAGGGTGCCCACCCTGCCTCAGGACCAGGGTAGCAAAGCGGGCCAGGAGCTGCCCCTCTGCAGGCACGTGGTCCAGCCAGCAGTCCATGGCCAAGGCATCCTGGCAGTGGGGTTGGGGCCCAGCCCCATCCCATGCACCCCTGCTCCATCCCCTGTGGCGGGCTGGCAGCCCTGGTGGTCCGCAGCCTTCCCGAGGGGGCAGAGGGGCTGGGCCCCGGCTGCTCCAGTGGGTGCCAGGGCTACAGCCAGAGAGAGAAGGCACCATGGCCGCCCTGGGGCACTTGGGTGGAGAGCAGGGGGCCCCATCCCCCCCACCGGCAGGGGTTCAGCAAGGGGGCTTGGTGCGGACCCCCAGCCCCGCCAAGGCTGGGTGGCCAGAGGGCAGAGGGCAGGGGGGCCACCCAGCAGTGCTGCATCCCTGCTCCGGGGATGGCGAGGCCAGCCAGTGCCCGGTGGGGAGGTCCCCACTGCAGTGGGCACCGTCATGCTGTCAGGTTGTGGGCAGACTTGGAGGCGCCCTGGGCCCTCTGGATGACGGCTGGGCACTTCTCCCGCCGCAGCAGCTTGTTGTTCTCGAAGAAGCCCTCATTACGGGGCACCCCGTGGGAGCCGTCGGGGAAGGTCAGGAGACCTGGGGAGGGGAGGGAAGGGCCAGGAGTGACGGGGCAGGGAGCAGCACACACCAGGACTGGGGCCAGGGCTAGAGGGATGGAGTGGGAGATGCCAGACAGGGGTGTGCTGAGCTGGGGCCGCGTGGGGCTGCGGCTGCCCACACCGTGCCACCGGGCACTCACCAAAGCCGTACACACGCCCGCCTTTGAACTCGCCCTCAAAGGTCATGTTGTCGCAGCGGGTGAAGACGCCGACACCGTTGAACTTGCCCTGCACAAACTCCCCCTCGTACCTGTGCGGGAGGAGCTCCTGAGGCAGCAGCTCCCCATGGCAAGCAGGGATGCCCGGGGGGGGCGTACATGGGGGTGCCACGCTCACCTGGAGCCGTCAGGGAAGGTGAGCATGCCACAGCCGTGGAAGAGCCCATTCTCGAAGTGCCCCACATAAGCGGTGCCGTCGGCAAACGTCAGCTGCCCAACGCCATGCCTGCGACCTAGGTGAGGGCAGAAACAGGCAGTGCTGGACGGATGGAGGCAGGACCTGCCCCAGCGTGGTGCTGGGCAGGGACGCGGGGGCTACTCGGCCCCTGGCGCAGGCAGCACCATCCCCTCCTGCCCCATCTCACCTTCCTTCCACTCGCCACGGTACTCCTCCCCATTGGAGTAGGTGAAGGAGCCTTTGGTGAGGGTCATGGTGACAGCCTCCAGCAGCGCAGGGCAAGAGCTGGCAGGGAGAGGCGCAGAGGGTGGCTGCTGGGTGGGGGGAACAACCTGGCTCACCCAGAGCCCCCACGTCCCCTCGGCTCACGCGTCTGCCCTGGGGATGGCTCTGCTGGGGCATGCAACAGATGAGGAGGTGACCCCAGTAGCTTAGCCGCCCTGCCCTGCCTCTGAAACCCCAGCCGCCAGGTTCGGGTTGCTGCCCTCCCCACGGCAAGGCTCAGGGCGATGTGAGCCCACGGGGGTCACAGCACTGTAAAACACACGTGAGCGGCAGGAAGAGGAGCCCGGCAGGAGCTGGCTGGCTCCGGCACAGCTGCCCAGCAGGACCTGAGGGGGTCCTGCACCACAGCAGGCTCAGGCCAGGGGCCGCCTCCAGCTCTCCATTTGGGGAGGAGATGCTTGCCGGGTTGTGCTCGATGCCAGCTCTTCAGGGGAGAGAGCAGAGAGCTTGTGGGGTGTCCAGCTCCAGCGTGGAAGACGGGCAGACCTGGCTCATCCCCCAGGGATGGAGTGGCTGCTCCTCCTAAGAGGGACAGCCCTGGGGCTCCAGGGCCTTGCTCAGCCACTGAGGGTTTGCAAACCTGCCTGCTGACAGCAAGCAGCCCCCAGAGCCCTGCACACCCCCAGAGTCGCTGCTGCACTGCACAGCTCTCCCCAGCACCCAGGGAAGGCACCGGCATGGAGCTGGCCCCACAGGCGGACTGGGTGCTGCCTCTCCGGCGGCTCCCGGTGCAGCTCAGGCGGTGCCTGTGATGGGAAGGGGCTCCCCACTTCAAAAGGGGGTATCCCTGCTCGCACCGGTCTGCGCATCCCTGGGGAGATGGGTGCTGAGCCGTGCTAACTGTGCAGACACGGGGCCTGGGAGCACCGCAGGGAACTCGCAAGGGCTTTGTGTCCAGAGGAGAAATGGCCCCCAGCCAAGCCGAGCAGCGACTGAACAGTGCTCTCTGCTGATGGCAGAGACCAGGAGCTCAGCGCCGGCTCCCCAGCCTGCAGCCTGCCCAGCACCTCTGGGGACACCTCCGGCAGTGCCAGGAGGAGGAGAGGGTGCTGCCACGGGGCTGTTAGTGCCTGCCACAGGGGAGGGCTCCCAGCACCAGCACGGCCTGTGCCTGGTGACTTAATCCGGGGAACAGGCAGCATTTGCCCCGTGAGCAACCTAGCCTGCTCAGCAGCTGGATGTCTCCCCACTGGCACCCACACACGCCGGAGCCCTGCAGGCACAGTGCCACAGCAAGCAGGAGCGATGCTGTGCACACCTCAACTCTGAGCCCACGACCTGCCCGGGCCACACACCCACGGGCTGGAGCCACGCACAGGGGCGAGGGGTGCACGATCCAGCTGGGCCACGCACCCCTGGGCAATGCAGGCACACCCTGCCTGTGCCACGCACCCACGGGGGACATATGCACACCACACCTGGGTAGTGTGCCCAGAGGTGGTGATTGCACCCACAGCTGATGCATACACGCCCCGCCGTGTCCATGCACCCACGGCTGATGCATTGCACACCCCGCCGTGTCCATGCACCCACGGTTGACGCATCCACGGCCCACTGTGTCCATGCATCCACGGCTGATGCATTGCACGCCCCGCCGTGTCCATGCACCCACAGCTGACGAATGCACAGCCCACTGTGTCCATGCACCCACGGCTGATGCATACACGCCCCACCGTGCCCATGCACCCACGGCTGATGCATCCACGGCCCGCCGTGTCCATGCACCCACGGGCGGTGCACGCACGCCCCACCGGGGCATCCGTGGCGGTGCCCGCAGGCCCGGTGCCTGCCCAGGGGCGGTGCGGACGGTGCGGGCGGCGCAGGGACCCGCG